TTTTAATCTTTGTTCTTCTGGGTCCCAAATAACAGTATTCTATACTAGTTTGGGATGACCATAGTTCCTATTTGTGCACTTTTAAGCCAAGCTAATTAATATGATTGATGTGATTGATGCTAGCCCGCAGTGGTGGTAACAGTACTATCCACTAGTACAGGTTTATTCCTATTGTGGGGTCTGGAAGCTACCTGCTGGGCTGGCAATCAATCATCTAGTAATTAAGTACGTACTAAATTTCATTACACTAGCTGTAACTATTTCTCTCTGTAACGGCTATTAAATAAAGTTATTATTATTATTATTATTATTATTAAAGAACAGATTTTACAAGGACAGATTACGACAGAACAGAATACACAAAGGCCAAATTTACAAGAAGAGAATAAAGAGGAATCAACAGAGCAGAATAAACAAGGACTAAAGGAACATGAACAGAATATAAAACAGCACACAAAACAACAAGATTCACGAGAACAGATCATGCTAAAGCCAAATATACGACTATTAAATATGTTATTTCATTACTTGCAACCTCAATTACATTCTTAAGTACGTTTATCTACAGAAGATTATAAAAAACATTAAAAGTAGGTCTTAAACTGTCCATGATTGGTGCCGTTACCTTACTTAGTCATACTATTTACTGCTTATCTAAGGACACAGCTAACGTAGAATATTATGACACCAAAAAACCAAATAAATTCATACATTTGTAGTCATAGTGCACAAAAACCTAAAATAGGGTAAAAATAATTAACTTTTAAGAAAAAAAAACATTCCTTAGGTACTACATGGGATAAATTTTTTTTGCTTTTTTTGGGAACAGTCTTAACCTGTGCTATAAGCCATTTCAGTATGATAAATTCATTACATTATTATATATATATACCTCATTTCAAGCAAATTAAGTCAAGTTATACCCTGTCCGAAAATTAGTAGTTTCGAAGATATTAAAGATTTAAAGTTTTTTTTTGAAATCCCGATTCTCGGCTTTGTTATTTTTTTGGAATTTTATTTCTGTCCGTTTCTGGTTTGTTTTCGTTTTATCTAGTAGTTATTGAATTAAAGTTATTGTTTAATAGTAATAGAGTACGAAATAACTGTAAATTTGCTACAGTGTGGTTCAAAAATGATGAGAACTACCGAAAAAGAAACAACAATTTATTTATTAAAAGGAGTGCCTTGTAAAAAAATTATATGGAACGATGTGTACAAATTACTTAAATTACTTCTTTGTATTATTATTACCTATTCAAAACAGTAAAAATGTTAACTACAATGTTAATTTTTCCAATACAAAAGTGATGAAAATCAAGAACAAAGTGCGAGTATAGAATACATACAATACAATATTGTAAGTCCTGCTCAAAACGGGAACCTCGGTTCCTAATACATTGTCGTTACCCGCTATGTTATAATTGTTCTTATTTGTTCAGCTGCGTCAATTATTCTCTGCCTTAGCTCATCTAATGAATTTACGGGCGTTTCATACACCAAACTTTTCATGTACCCCCATAAATAAAAATCGCACGGTGTCAAATCTGGGCACCGTGCTGGCCAAGGAATCGGCCCGCCTCGACCAATCCAACGGCCTGGATAATTCGTGTCCAGTCATTGTTGCACACCTAGGCGGAAGTGAGCTGGGCAGCCATTATGCTGGTAAATCAGATTTAAAAATGTTCTAATGGGTACATCTTCTAACAATACAGACAAATTATCCCTCTAGAAATTTTCGTACATCTCTCCATTTAAATGGTCAGGGAAAAAGTAAGGCCCGATTAAATGTCTGCCAATGATTCCCATTCAAACGTTAAGGGAAACCTTCTCTGGTGGGAAGTTTCTTTTTTTTTCGTAGGTTTTCACGTCTCGGGTTCCAAAAATGTGCATTGTGGAAATTTGTGATTCCGTCGGAATCAAACTTGGATTCGTCTGTCCATAATATTCTTGACAAAAAATTTGTGTCTTCCAGATCAGCATTAATCATGAAACGGCAATAACCTAACCTTCTAACTGGATCTCCTTCCTCCAATCCTTGCACAGGATTATATTGAGGATTATACTGATTATACAGGATTATATTGAGTGCCTGAGTACGCAATAGGCGATGATGAAAATAATACACAGCCAAACATCTTTGCGAATTTTTATTTGCATTTACAACAACATAAAAATCATAGTAATAAACAAAATTAATGATATAATTACAATGTTATTATGATACCAAAAAACAACACAAACACGGAAGTCAACATCAACAAAACAAAAAATCAATAACCAAACAATGCTAACAAAATACTTCTTAAATTGTCTTAAGGATACTTACAATATAACCTATAATGAACTTTATATAAAGATTCGTATTCATTCATTATATCATTGATAATTCCTCTTCTTAGATATCTTCATATATAGATATAGTCACATATCGATGTTTGTTCTATATTGCAAGAAAACTAGTCTTGTATGGTTTTCTTGCAATTCTATTATAGTCTGTTCTCTCGGAACAGGTAGTAAAGGATACAATGCTTTTCCAGTATCATTTCCTGATATACCATCATCTAACTTTAGTGCTGATGGTATTTTGTCTTTTTTGATATTTTGACGTTTTGATATTCTTTTTGCTGATGTTTCCATACGGTTTTAAGTGATAATAAATAAGTAGTAGCTGCATCCCAGATACCTGTTACTAGTTTCCAGCAAAAACCATATACTTCATATAGACCACGAACATTCACAATGGCGTCAAACAATATTTTGATTAACTTAAGAATCAACATAATACCAAATATACCTGAGAAGAAAGTTCGTATTTATGTGAAATGTGCCCAAGTTGTGCCAAAAAAGGACGTTACAGACTCCTCTAATGCCTCTTTGGTAATTAGATGCTTAAGTATAGTGACATCTGCTATAACAGTCTTCATTAATAACAGCTGATATTGTTTGGGAGATAGCCTTCCTTCCTGATGGATACATAATCTGACTCCTTAATCGAGATAATCATCAAGTCCATGTATTCCTGCACGAGCAAGATCACCAGCATCTGTATAAGAGCATTGTTTTAACATTGTTCATTATGGCAAAGACATAATGTCTACAGAGAAAGTGTTACTGATGTGTTTATATTTAAATGAGTACGTATGTTACGTCAATAAGGTACGCATATAAAATAAAACAATGCGAATATTTGTTCAATTTTTAAATTTTCTTTAACTTCAATGCTTTTTTTTGCAATGCTGGTATTATCAACTTTTCAATTTAGCACCACTCAGGGTTCACTTGTAGGGTCTCGAGGGTAAGCTTACGGAAGCGAGTAATATCAACCCCCTATCACGCTGTCCAGCTAGTAAGATTATTTGATAAAAATAACCGAAACGCCTAACTTGTTATTTCATATATGTATGCTTAATTCCAAATGTGATGCTGATATTTATATCACTAGTATAGATGCAAGCTATGGTGGAGCCGCACATGGAATTTACATCCAATTAAACTTCATCTGGAAAATCTAAACAATGGTACATTGTTGCACGACAAATTTAATTGAAGGAAAGAGAAGATCGATAAAGCATACACCGTCATCATGATGTGCGAGAAAATAAAGAAATGTTAGAGTGTGGAGAGCTACGCTGTGGTCATCTATGGATCGTGAGAAATGGAGGAGGATAGACTGACAAGTATGGGGGAATGGGATATATTTTGTATGGAAAGAACTACGCTGCCTGCACGGTCATAGTGGGGCATTTTATGTCTAGGTATGTATGAAACAAAACAAATACAATAATACAAAAACAAATGTTTCAAATATTTATTACATCCTACCTATACCTACATATTATATTCATTCATTCATTATATTTATCATATTATCAAGAATCAATCACATTAAATTAATCACAGCACAGATTAGAAATAACTCGTACTCAGGGTGGTATTCCAGAACGTGACTCAAGTATCGCCGTGATCATCAATCAACGAAGCATTGCTTGAGCACTGATTCGAGTCTTAAGCATTTCGTTTATTCTTGAATAGTACTCAGTGCTGTGCTCAGCTGAACTACGCTCAAGTTTTCACTCTAGTTCGAGTTGGGATTGTCTATGGTTTCATGACATTTTCGTTCATTCATTCGTATTTGTTTATTAATACTTGGCTGTACCACCTCAGTTCCTTGTGCCTTTCTTAGAGGAAATTAATGTCATTGTCAAAATCAAATAAGTTTTGTTTTATTTTATTTTCAAAAAACTTTGGTGTAGGTAATATTAATTTCTTTGGAAATGCCAAAAAAAAGACTTATACGTTAAGAGAAAAAAATGTATTATTAGAAATTCTTAAAACAAAAAACATATTTTTGAAAATAAAAAAACGCACAATTAAAAAAGCAAGCGTAATTAGATATTGTTCATACTTTTAATAGTTCCACACTCATCAATGAACCCGTAAGTACCTATATACAAAACAAAATGCATATTGATAACAATATGATCACTGTATTGATAAACGTAGCGGTGACCCTAATATTTGATACATTTTAGGCATCTTCGGAACAATTGCCTCGCCTGTGGCAGAATATCAAATGCAGACAACGGGATGCCATCACGAGAGAACGGCAGTACCGAATGGGAACAGGGGGAGGTGCTAATATTCCCGATGCCATTATAGACCCAAACATATCGGACATATCTGATTCTCTGTTAGTAGAAATACCAGGAGCAAATGACTCAGATGGTAAATAATTTTCATCCAGTTATTAGTCCTTATTTATTGAAGCACACCTACTCTATAAACACATAAAATAATATCCATAATATGTACTTGTTTTGTGATACCCCAATCTAACTAAACTGATGCTGTGCTAGTAAATAGGAGTAAATAATTACTATTATTTTTTAGTAAATAATTATATTATTGTTACAGGAATGGCCACTTTCCCACAATCTGGTGATTCATTTCAGTTGGGTTCGGTTGAAATAGAAATAGAGCAGCCATTGTCTCTCCATCAGTCTGCACAAGCAAATTCAAATCAACAAGAATTAGAACATTCACATAGTGTACCTGAACCAGCAGCCAGGAGAGAAGTAATAGAACCTGATGCTCCATTTCAGTCGGGTCCAATTACAACAGATATAGAAGTATGCGATACATCTCGGCCGAGGCAACCACAGTCTTCTCTACAGTATGAACAAACAAATTCAAATCAACAAGTGTCACAATCTGAACTGACATGGTAATCAAGTAATGGTTTTCATGGTTTTCAAGTAATGAGAAAAAACTTAGATTGCAAATATTAAAAAAAGAACATTCGGAACGGGAAAAGCGGGCTAATGAGTTGCATTCCCTAGAAATTAAAATTCTAAGTGAAAAACTAAGAGAAGCAAGGGCACTGGCACTGGCTGATTTGGCTGAATGTAGAAATTAAAATTTGAGCAATATTTGTCCAAGGTGTTATTTTTATATTGTGTCTTATATTTGTTGATTTTACATTACAATTATTATGTGAATAGAACGCATTTAATAATTATAATTATCATTTTATTGAATATAAATATAAAGGCATAGTCTAAAAAATCTTATCAATTTTATTAATTTTTTATAGACAACTGCCTATAAAAATTAATAAAATTTATAAATTTTTTTTTAATGCTGATCTGATGACTCAGTTTCATGCATTGTATGGGACGAACATCGGGACAGTAGAAGTTTGTCTAATTTAATATAAAGTTCTTTTCATACAAAATTAATAAAGTTTTATTAAATTTGACCAAGTTCTGCTATTCCGATTGTTTTGTTCCAATACAATAAAATAGTTCCTATAAGAAACAGAGTTTGTCGGCGTTAAAAAAAAAATTAGTCAATTTTATTAATTTTGTATGAGAAACATTTCATTAAATTTTATTAATAACTGCCATTCCGATTTTTTTTGTCCCATACAATGATACCTTACATGAAACTGAGTAGATCAACACAAAAAAAAAATTGATTAATTTTTATGTACATACAACTCACATTTGACCAAATAATTGACTATGCCGTTATATTTTTACTCAATAAATAATTTTATTCTTTATTTATAGCAGTTTTGTTGTCTGTTAACTTATTGTTACCTCTTCAAGTAGGAAAACTGCCTCTCTATGAATGTCATATTACAATTTTGGATATTTCTAGTTTTATTTTTAAACAGTTATTGATGGATTTACTCATGCTGACCTCCCTGCGAAGACCGAGCAAGAAATTCTAGGGATTGTTCTTTTCAAATAAACTGAAATGCTAAGGAATAAGACTCATGTTGCCTTTCCATAAATCTTTATTTAACACATAGTCTACAATTTTGTAATATGAATCTTCTATTAAAATACTCTTAATATAAGTTTTAAACTCAGGAAATGGTATAATCTTAATATATGCTCCGGAGAATTTTATTGTAAAAATGTACACAGTTCCCCATAAAAGAACTGTTTACCTTAGTTAAACAAAATCGTGGTACCAAGTTTGGACTTAGTTCTAAGGTTAATATTGTGTATATCTCCTTTAGTAACAAATTTCAAATTTAACACACTTTGGCATCTTAGTATTGAGTAACAAATTGTTGACATTAAACCAATAACCTACGTTTGAAAGGGTATTATAATAATTAAAATAAGGGTATATAAGGGTTATCTTTATGTATATCTTTATTTTACCTGTTAACCCTTAAACTCAGCATGCGTATGAATTCATACGCATACACTACCAATTTGAAAAGATTTTTTTGGTGTAGCCAAATCCTTGTAAGTATTGATGGTTTGTATCGTGAAAACAAAGCTGATGGTGTGCTCTTTCATTTGGTGTATAATACTCGTGATCTTTTGTTTGTGGTATCGAGTTATATCAGTTTGAAAATTCCCGGCGAACGAAGTGCTCGCGCGCGTTGTTTGAGTTTATCAAATAAGTGTTGTCAAGTGAAAGGTGAGTGAATTTTGTTCCGACTGCTAATAGAAAATATGCATTGGACTTTTACGTAAGTAATGCTATCATAACATGAATTGTGAGTGCAGTAATACGTAAGTATTTTCACTTTCAAAGTTATCGGTACGACTTTTTCTGTGTTTCAAATACTTTATAATGTGTTATTTGACTAAAAGAAACATTTGGCTGTATATAATATGTAATAATAATACAAGTGCAACATCCTTTTATAGGATTCTGCCTATATTTCTGATCGAAAGCGAATAAATTTCGTAAATTTCTGCTTTTATTTGACATGTTGCAAAAATATGACCGCCATTTTTATACGCCATATTCGCAATAGTGCTTCCATGTCGATATAGGTGACATCGATAAGACAATCTGTGAACGAAAAGTGTAAAATATTGTTACTTTCATTTTTCCTTTTTTGTTCTAAGATTCGATAACCAAGTATCTAACAAGGTAGGTATAATTGTTAAAAAATAATAAGTGCCGCTACAATATGGATAAAATATTCCGTACCGTTACTTTATAGTAAATAATTGTAAAAATGTTTATTGTACATAATTTATATAGTAGTAAATTGTGGTCTCTGCCTACCCGAGGAAGGTACGATTTTGTGTATGTATTTAATTTATACAGCACTGATAATATGTTTTTTAGATGTGGAACCCCGGAAACGAAAGCGTGCCCAATGATTTCATTGATATCCTCAACGATGAGGAGTCTGAGTCAGATGAAGAGATCGTTGAGGAGGAAATTGAACAGGAGGGCGACCTAGCAGCGCAAATCGACCTACTGAACGTGAGTAACAGATAGTATTATACTCAAACATATGTTCGTAGGTAATGTTTATATGCATAAATAAATATTAGACAATATCACATACGTTGCTCTGATCCCAAAGTAAGTAGCTAAAGTAAGTTGTGTTATGGAAATCGGAAACAACGAAGTTACCACTGACACCCACACCCAAGACAATATGGAAAAGTTAGTCTTTCTACGTTGACCCGGCCGGGAATCAAACGCGGGACCTCCGCATCCGCAGCCCAAATTATAAACATTCATTCACATTCCTATCCAGTGTGGCCGCCAAAGAAGGGTCACATTTACTTTTGCTATGATTTATGCCACTTACATTAACAAAACTGATTTCAAAGAATTTCGTTATGAGCATAAGTGGTTGAGTTAACCATAACAAGAGGTGTAGGCGATAATGTTGTATAGGGTAGGATAAAAAATATATATGCGTCTCACATTGTAAATTGGGTATTTTTGTTACGATAAATGTAGGTCGTAGTTACGATATTTTTGAAATATTGTGCTAGTAATAACAATTTTGTTTCATTGCAGCTATTATCTGGAAGTAATATTTTCGTGGTGCAGAGCGCCGGAACTCTGGCTCCTACGGCGAGGCCAGAACCCATATCAGACGTTGTGTAAGTATTATTATGCTCTAATTAGGTACAAAACTATTACAATATTTGTATACAGATGTTCTTATTCTATAATATCTTTCTTTTCTTTACAGAGCCAGCGATACTGACGAGGAAGAGGAGCAAGCCGACGAGTTAGTTTCATGGGCTAGTAGCAGAGTTTTTTCGATAATCCTTATACTGCCCATAACGCATCGATCATAATATATCGATAATTTATCGATTTAACGATTTGCTCATATATATATATGAGCAAATCGTTAATTTGCAGTTTTCTTCCCGATTTACTTGTTTGTAGGGCGATATCTCGTAAACTAATGAAGTTAAAAGGGTGAAGCTTGATATATATACCCCTAATGAGCATCTGATTAGTACCACATCAAGCAACCGTAATTAGCGGGCTCCCGCCCCCTCCATTCCGCAGACTTTTGGACCTCCCCTCGTATGTCTAAAAATTGTCCCTCTGGTCCTGCAATAGCCTGTAAAATCATGTACAATTTTATTGATATAAAGAAAACTAGGTACTTCAAAAACATCTTGTAAGATTTTCTACTTGTAGATAAATAAATGATGTAAGTACCTGCACATTAATTGAGAAGTACGATTTTCTATTTCTGTACGCCTCATGGTGCTGGACTCCTGGTGTGTGCACTATTTTAACGTGAGTGCAATCAATGGCTCCATCAACATTATTGAATCCCGGTAAGCCTCTATACTGCCCTAACCTTTTGAATGTATGTCTTAAATTTTGTATATCACTAGGCTCATTGGGATACTTTATATATCTTTTGTTTTGGATTGCCAGCAAGTAGGACACTTTTTTTACAATTCTTGACACAGTGGCTTGCGACAGCTTCAGGAGGTCACCGTACACAAGCTGAAGAAAATAGAGATAAAATAGATAAATACCTACATACTTAAATAATATTAAGTAGGTATTTATAACGCACAATACACCACTGCTTGTTTCATTGACCTACTTACCTGAAATGATCCCGTAGCGTAAAAACGCAAGTAAACCAGAATCTGTAATTCAGGTGCGATTGGGTACCCACGATTATCTGGCTTCTTAAGCTCATCTACTATGATTGGTAAAATTAAATTTTTTACCAAATCCTGATTGAGTCTAAATCGCTGTTTAAAAATTTGTATTCTTCTATGTCGTACGGGTCTTGCACGTCTCTCAACATCCGAATAAATGTGTGATTTTCATCATCATTGAAAATATTTCGATAATGGTCAATATGTTCAAATGGATTCATTGTAGATATTTATTATTGTAATTTTACTCGCTGCCGATAAGCACTCAAGCGCAACAAGAACCTCACTCAAGTAAACGACTCACTAACTGAACTTCGACACACGCTACTCCGACAACATGTTACATCGACATGATTTTACTCCGACATTACGTTACTTCGGCAATATGTTACTTCGACATTACTTTACTCAGACACTACGCTACTCCGACAACATGTTACATCGATATGATTTTACTCCGACACTACGCGACTTCGACAACACAGACGAGATATTTCTAAAAAAAAATCTCTGTACTCAGATAAGAAAAATCATTATTAGAAACCCATGTAGGAAATAGTTTCTTATTATATATCGATCAATATAAAAAAAAAAAAATTATACAAACGAAAAATTATTTTATTAGTTATATAAATTGTAACAAAAAACTATTAAATTAAAATATAAATTTTTACTACACTATTTCATATGTATGTAAGTAAATGAAATGTTTTTCATTTTCATTTCACTTTTGTCTAAAACAAGCCAATATCGTCGGTGTTTTGTAGAAATGGCGAAAGCGCCATTTTGGACAAATTTTCCGGTAAGCATTTTTTAGGTTTTCAGGACTTTTAAAATATTTACGTCCGGTTTTAAAATCAACTTTAAAACTTAAATTTAATTGAGTCCAAATTTTAATTCGAAAACAGCAGGTAAATATTTTAAAACAGTCGTTAAAACTTAAAACATTCTCCCCATTTTTTTTACATAGCGCTTTCGGCCTTTCTACAAAACACCTACCAAAAAAATTACTATTTTAATAGTTTAGGCTCTACTACAAAATCACGAACCAAAGTTCTGAACTTCTGATACAGATAGATACAAACAAACGTAACAAAACGCTATGATTAGCAGTCTTTGGTAATCATGAGCGTCTTTCGAACGATTTAAGTGCTACGTCGCGCCATGAAAATGGTCCATACACAAACGCACTAACGCGGGAAAATAATTTGGTGCCACCGTCTGTGCGAAAAAAATACGAGACTAAAACCAAGCGTGGTCTTAGAACGTAACATTTTCGTTATACAAATGGTCCACACCATGTCCACACACAAGCACTTTTGTCACTCGAAATGAATTAAAACACCATGTACTTTTTACTATGTAGGGATTCAATAACGCACTTTACTCCCTCTACATAATATTGACGTACTTTTATAGCATGAGAAGTGAAAAAAATATTAACTACGAGTCGAAATTTCAATAATAATAAAAAACTTAAGTTTAAATCGATTATTTTTTCTTACAAAACATTATGTACACAATTCCTTCTAAAAATTCTAACACACCCATGTCTTCTTTCAATTGCATGTGTTGCTGCAATCTTCGATCATGTTTTTTTTGTTTGTTGTGCTTAGGTTTTTCTATTTGTGCTGCAATGCGAGCTATTTCGTTTTCCATGTTCCTCTGCTCTTTCCTTAATTCTTTTATTGTATTGAAAACATTCATCTTCTTTTTATTCAAAAGTATATTCCATCGCAAATGCCAACTTTCACAAGCGTTCTGAGTTGTTGGTAGGTTGCAAGCTATAGAGTCGAAAACTGACCATATTTTGGGTGGGAACTTGGTTGGCATGGCTTTAATGAATACTTTAGTAGAGTTACTCGCTTTTCGAACACATTGGCGTGTTCCGGTTACATAGAATTTAGCAAATTCTTCACAGACAACATCAGCAGCTTTTGGGAGTATAAATACTTTAAGAAGCTCAAAAGCTTGTGGAATCTCTTCTTGTGGTAAAAATGCTAACGCAGTGATATGTCGTAGTTTATGTGCCAATTCGCTATCATGAATATATTTTGCTGACAACCCTTCGCGTTCAATGAACCGCCATACAATTTGTCCAAAATTAAAATAACAGCACTTATGTTTGCTGGTAGGAAAAACGTGTCGACAGGCATTAATAGCTGCTTGTTCGAAATCGGTTATTATTATTTTAGGTTCCAACGTTAAGTGAAGTTTATTAAATACATGACATTTCAATATTTCCAAAAAAATGTAATAACAATGCTCACTTTTGCTTGATAGGAAACCGTACACTAACGGTAAAATCTGATGAGTAGATTTTTTTTCCTACGATAGGTTGTATTGTATATAGCTGATACACAAGTTTGGGACTGCATTTAAAAGTGCCATCCATTATCCAAAATTCTGCTTCGAAAAGCAGTTTCAAATTTTCGTCAGTCCCGAAAATAAAGGTTTATTCGGAACGAATGGAGCGCTAGTGGAAGGAATATCATAATTACATTGTTGTATTTGTGAAGGGCGATCCATACTACAAACAGTGTTTTATATTATTGTATAGTTTACGCACCTGGATTTGTTCTGGTTGTGGCAAGTGGTTATGTTTCTTTATTAATTTAGTGGCCACATGATGCTGATCGTCACGTTTAACTGTTTTAAGCCACACGTCACACTTTCCACTGCACTTTTCAATACCAATTTCATGCCAATAATAAATGTCGTCTCGTACTTGGTTATTACAATATATGAAACCGTCTACAACTAACTGATCTTTTCCTTTCCGAGATTTAATTATAAAACAGGAAGTCATGTTGATAAGTGCTTAACCGCATTGACTTTGAGGTCAATGCTTAACCGTAACAAAACACTACTGCATCTGTGTCTGTCAATAAACGCAGTGATCTAGGAAACGCGAATATAATTCTTAAATAAAAATTTCTAAATAAATGCAAAAATTTTAAACCTACCCTGAAATTTTAAAAGTACTGCATAGATTATCGGCAATAATGTAATATTGTGCGAACTTAGGTACTGATGATGTATTTTTCTTATTAAATATCGATGGATGGAACTAAAGATGAACTCGTACTTTGACTTTATAATAACTTTAATTTTCTTGCTTATAATAGTTAACAAATGCTTTCGTCGCGCGCGATGGTTGAGAGTGAGTGGCGGCGGAGGGCGCCGCTGCGGGTTTTTTTTTGCGACTGTAAGCGTGTGTGCCGCGTACGCGCGATGCGCGATACGCACACATATGCGAGGCGTTAACAAATATATTAATATAAAATTTCAGGAATTCAATTGATTAAAAAGGAATCAATTAAGTTAAGTTTTAAAGTTGATTTTAAGTTTAAGTAAATATTTTAAAACAGTCCTGAAAACCTAAAAAATGCTCACCGGAAAATTTGTCCAAAATGGCGCTTTCGCCATTTCTACAAAACACCGACGATATTGGCTTGTTTTAGACAAAAGTGAAATGAAAATGAAAAACATTTCATTTACTTACATACATATGAAATAGTGTAGTAAAAATTTATATTTTAATTTAATAGTTTTTTGTTACAATTTATATAACTAATAAAATAATTTTTCGATTGTATAATTTTGTTTTTTTTGTTATATTGATCGATATATAATAAGAAACCATTTCCTACATGGGTTTCTAATAATGATTTTTCTTATCTGAGTACAGAGATTTTTTTTAGAAATATCTCGTCTGTGTTGTCGAAGTCGCGTAGTGTCAGAGTAAAATCATGTCGATGTAACATGTTGTCGGAGTAGCGTAGTGTCTGAGTAAAGTAATGTCGAAGTAACATATTGTCGAAGTAACTAATGTCGGAGTAAAATCATGTCGATGTAACATGTTGTCGGAGTAGCGTGTGTCGAAGTTCAGTTAGTGAGTCCAAGTAAACACAGATTTTGACAACACTCAAGACAAGATTTTAGAGTTGAGTACGGTTTAGGAATCAGCAAAGTTGAAACGAATCTCAAGCATTGTTCAATCCGTAACATGACTCACAAGGATACATATCTCTGAGACGTACATAGTTTATCTCCGTGACTAAATAAACAGTTTTTACACAATTGTAAATTTCTAATTGTGTTACGTTGACAAATTGGGGTCATATTCAAAAATTTCTGACACTGCATTAGCACATGTTGAT